ATTTTTCAAGTCTTCCTTGAGCAAGTTTAATGCCCAGAAGGGCTTGACCATGTTTGTTCCCAGGCAGTATTTTGACAAACAGACCAAATCAGTAGAGAGTAAGATGGAGTGATTTCTACAATCTTGTCCACATTTTTCTCACTAGCCTCTCGTTTTTCAGTGTGGAATTATCCTTGAAAATACCAATCAGCTTTAAAGTGTGGCAATCTTGGTATAGAATGAATTGGGCTGTTCTCTGCTCCTGTTGCATGCCATCCTGTCCCTTCATAGTACATTCCTCCCCACTAGATGGTTAGCCTTTTTGAGGTACATGGAATCCTTTAAAAATAATCATGAATGGCATGCCTTTCTCCCAAGAAAAATGCACATTCAGGAACACTATTTTGCATTCAGTTTCCTGAGGTTGATGGGCCCCCTCCCATGGCCCACCTCCCCGTTTAAGAATACCTTAGCCATGGCACTATATGAGACAGTGTTTCACTGGTATTTATTAGGTTTACAGTTTTTCAGAAGTGGACCTCCATGTCCTTCTTCCTAATCTGTCTTAGTTTGGAAGCTTTACTGAAACCTGTCCACCATGGGTGACCCTGCTGGTATTTGAATAAGGAAGACTGAAGAAGAGTTGATGCTTTTTAGATGTGTTGTTGCAAAGAATACTGAAAGTACCATGGACTGCTGGAAGAACTAACAAATCTGTCCTGGAAGAAGTGCAGCCCGAATGCTCCTTGGAAGCGAGAATGGCCAGACTTTGTCTTATCTACGTTGGTCATGTTGTAAGAAGGGACCATTCCCTGGAGAAGGATATCATCCTTGGTAAAGTGGAAGGTTAGTGAAAAAGGGGAAGGCCCTCAACAAAATGGATTGACACAGTGGCTGCAATGATGGGCTCAAATACGGCAAGGATTGTGAGGCTTGTGCAGGACCGGGCAGTGTTTTGCTCTGTTGTACACAGGGTTGCTATGAGTCAGAGCCGACTCGACAGGACCTAACAACAACAACAACAGCTTCTGGCATCACAGCAACACACAGGCCACCATAGTACAATAAACTGACAGACAAGTGCTCTGTCAGGACATCAAGCAACATACTGTATCAGCTAAATCTTCTGCAAAAGACCTCTTTTAAGTATTAAAGAGCAAAAATGTCCCTTTTAAGACTAAGGTGCGCCTGACTCAAGCCATGGTATTTTCAGTAGCCTCATATGGATCTGAAAGCTGGACAATGAATAAGAAAGACACTAGAAGAATTGATGCATTTGAGTTGTGGTGTTGGAGAAGAATATTGAAAATATTATTTTGAACATTTGTTCAAGAATGAACAAATATGTCTTGGAAGAAGTGCAGGCAGAATGCTCCTTAGAGGCGAGAGTGGCTAGACTTCACCTCACATACTTTGGTCATGTTGTCAGAAGGGATCAGTTCCTGGAAAAGGGTATCACACTTGGTAAAATAGAGGGTCAGTGAAAGAGGGGAAGACCTTCAATGAGATGTATTAACATAGTGACTTCAATGATGGATTCAAGCATAAAACCATTATGAGGATGGTGCAGGATCAGGCAGTGTTTTGTTCTGTTGTATATGGGGTTGCTATGAGTTGGAACAGACTCAATAGCACTTAACAACACTAACAACAAGCCATGACAACAAATTTAGGAATGTATAAACACAGTGTGTGTGCAGACCACTTTGAGAGAAACTGGCATATTCAAAATTTGAAACCATAAGCCAGTTATTGCTTTGCCAAATAATTTACCTTAGGACACTGAAAAATAGCATACACATACAAGTTACTCAAAACATGTCTCTATTTACCCAAATGCTAAGCCCTTTCCAGAACACATTTATTGCAGAGCAACAGGCCCAATCCAAAGAGTTAGTAACAGGTTCACTCTTGAGTTTAGCTATACTCATTCACAGAACTTCAGGTCATCTCTGAAATGGCAACTAATCTACATCCTTTAGGTGACTCACGGTCAATGATGGACAATGATGAGACACACAGAAACTTCAGGTTGGAAGAGAAGTGGTACATGTAAGTGGGTTGTGAGACTGCTTTCAAGTATGTCATCTGTAGTGAGATGAAGCCCATCTCCTTATTTCAGAAAAGAAAAGAAGAAACTGTACCAGGACGGACATTATGTCATCTCAAGTATTTCTCACAATGATTCTGGAAGGTGGGGGCATTTGCCACCATTTCCAGATAAGAGATCTGAGTTTTAGAAATTTGGCATGCATGCCCCAGGTCAGACAGCCAGAATTTATCATATATATACATACATATATAGTAAGAAAAATGCAAAGCTCTCTGTTTTAGTTTAACATCTTCAATGATTACCTTCTGGTGGCCAGGAAACGTACAGTCCCCAGCATCACACCAAATCCAGAGAGACTTTTAGGCTGAGATTTTGGATCCCACTGATTTTGTCAATGGCTTCCAGGTATGGGTCATGAAGGGTGGCAGAGACTGGACTTCTCCTTGCCCCATCTGAACTGACCTCCACAGTAGCATCCCCCTTTTCCTTTGCTCCTACATAGAGAAGGCCTCACAAAGACATCTGTCTAAAGGGCCAGGAGCCCTGCACTTAAAACAATCTATACAGCTATAAACTCCATCTTATGATTTTCACTCCTGGTTGAGTTGCCATTCGGCTTCATGCTACTTACTAGCTGCCACATTTTACTTGATCCTCTTCCAAGATTTCCAAACATGTGCCTGACACCCACCAGAGTTTCAAAGGGAGTGTAACAACTACAGAAGTGCTATGGAGATGGTTTGGTGTACACATATCTGTATAACTCCTCATAAGAGCAAGTGTAAGTTACTGGAGTGTTAACTTCCACAAGAGAAACATCAACTTTCTGTGCCTACTTTTTCTGAAATGACTGGTATATGAAGTTAGGGGATGATCCCTGTTTAGGCGAAGGGTCTCCAAGACCCTTGGGATACTGACACCCTTGGCTGACCCAGTGCAGGCTTTCCGGTGGATCTTCCCTCAGCAATCTCCATCCCTCAGCCTTCAGAAACCGCCTAATACCGCCAAGTGTTTTGGGCACAAGCAGGTTCAAAGCACGGGACAACCAAGTGAACACCACCCAAGAAAGAGAACTCGGGAACCAGTGGTAAATGAGAATTGTTTGTGTTCCCAGGGTAAAAGCAACCTAACGCAAAGCCTCGGGTCTCTGTGAGCGCAGAGGCTGGGTCCACAGAGACGTGGCTGAGCATCCTTAGCAAGGAGTCCCGCTAGACATTCAAATCTCTAGAAAGCGACAGTCCTTGAACCCTGGTCGGACTAGGAATCAATTTTAGCCCCCGGCGCCATCGCCAACGACAGTAGGGCAGAGTGAGAGAGAGAAAGAGGAAGAGTGAGTTTGTGTTCTCTTGGAGCAATTTTGCGCGGTACCTTGGATTCCTGGCTGCTGGTGGATGCAGGAGAAGGCGGCTGCTCCGCGCTCGCCGCCTCCTTGGGCAGCCCCTCCACGCTGTCCTCGCGGGCGCTGCTCGGAGGGATCATCGTGGCCGCGCGGAACGGTGTTGGGCTCCCGGAGGAACAGCTCAGCTCCGGATTCCGGGGACTCCCATCCTCGCGGAGGCACCGACGTGCCCAGCTCCGGCCTCGCCCCCGCCGGGCCCTGCCCACCTCGCCGACAGTCCCGCGGGCGGGGGAGGGTGCGCC